AAAAAAAATCAGGAGGATAGGATATATACTGGCTAGAAAAAACTCATGTCGCGTGTTTAGAAATTTTGAACCCCCTTCGATTCAGCTGCTTATCTGCAATCTTTTATGCTTTTTTAAAAAGAAGCAAGATATAGCCATCAGATATCATTATGTCCAGGTTTTTGAATATCAGCCCCTGTTTTCCTATTGTGATAGTCAAGTCGCAAAAAAATTTCAAACCAACCAGTCAGGCATTACCGATGGTCAACGTGCAATCTGTTCTTCCTAGACAAAAGAAAGTCATGCTGATTAAGTGTCTTCACGGGTTTAAAACAGTACAAAAAACGAAAAAAAATCTTTTACAACAGACTTATTTGTCTGCCATCTCTAAACATTACAGTTCTATAGGACAGGTTCGTTGGCGCAAGATTTTCTCAGTTAATAAAAAATTTAGAATGCCGTCATTGCCGAAACCTACTGAGGCCAAAAAGCACTCATAGATTGCCAGATGGAATGTTAAATGTAAATCTGGAATTCTTGAGTATTACTGCCAATTTTTGTTTGGCGCAATTCATTTGGACCTAAGGGAGTTAAAAAGAAGATTTTTTTGTTTGGCGCAACCGATTGGACCTGAGCGGAGTCAAAAAGAAAAATTTCGTTCTGATTTCACGACATGTAACACAAAACGTTTATTTGTGGCTCAACCCGCCCACAGAATTTATGGCTTTTTCCCAGCCCAAAACAGTCTGAACATTGCCAGTTTCTAGTACTGGTACTCTTGCTGTTTTCCAGCTACATCCTCGCAAAACCATTCAGATAATACGAACAAAACTATATTTCAAAAGGCCTGAGAAAATAAAATTATTGAATCAAACATTTTCAGTAATCTACCTTTCAATAATAAAAGCAAACCTCGCCAATGGTGAAATCTTTGTATCTCTCCATGTAATCGATGTCTACCACTACTGTATCCAAAGGAATTCCTGCTGCAACATTTCGTTCTATTATGCTCTTCATCTCTTCTAAATCCTTATAGCCATAACGAGATATCTATATAAAGACAGTGTTTTCCAAATGGAGTTAATATGATGTCTTCCCTAGCATACTTGGTAGCCCAGTCCCCAATAAGCTGGCAAACAAGGCCTCCCGACTAATGCAAGGTATTGTTCCGTTACTTCCCTCGGAGTGGGACCTGGGAAGAAATATAGATCGAGAATGCCTCCGATGGTCCGGTAGATAAGTGTAGGCCCTGGTGCAGTCGTTATTTCCTAAAAGTTCTGTACTATTTCCCAACTAATACAACCTTAGTTTCAGTGACTCTCATAGGGCATGGATGATGAGAGTACCTATATTACCTGTGCATTGCTATTGAGGATCAGCACTCCATGAGCTTTGCCGCCTGGCTCCAGCACCATGTAGAACGGATGAACCCCTGGAATTAGTAGATCAATATCAAATCCACTGTCATCAGACATACCGTAAAGGTTTTTCGTTTCAATATGGTTCGAACTTGGTGGTTCATCCCTTGCGAACATTGCCCATGTAGTGTACCGATTGAAGTTATGCTACAAACGCAATATGTAAAGTCTTCTTTGTTATAGGCATTCTCACCTTTAGCGTTGGATGAACATTTTCTCCCCATCCGAACATTGCTTCTGAGGGCAGTTTAGTTGCGATTTGTATAAATTTGTCGGAGAAAATCAGTCCGCCTGCAAACATGCCTGATCATTTGATTGGATTATGAAGCTTATCAGAAGCCATCTTGCAACTTCATCATGAGGTCGGCCCTCAAATTAGCCGGCCAATTTTATCGTACGTACACTCCGACAACCGCTTCAACCATTCATTTCCTTACCTGCTGGCTTTGCTACGAGCATTATTCTCTTTTGAAGAGTTCTCAGGATCGCGAAACGATTTTCAGCGAAATCTCGTCCTGGGCTCTCGCCACTTCACTGTTCAGCGAAAATCAGTGGAATGGTTTTGGAACGCAGGCTTTTGCTCCCACATCGAATCAGAAAATCTGTCTGTTCAATTCTAGGCAGTCAAAAGGCCTAATTTTGTTGTTTTTTGGATCTTCTGGTCCTCTGCAGCTGGTGCCTGGTCCTGCTGGGAGGTCCAGGCAGCGTCTCCAACGTTTAAGCTTTGAGAGAG